CATCCCAGGCAGCGACCTTGGCCCTGCAGATGGCTCTACGCAGGGCCGTGTGGGCCTCGTTGTACGCCCGGCGGAGGACCTCCTCTTCGCCGGGCGCTTGTCTGGCGCGCCTGCGGCATCGCTGGCAGGCGCGCCTGGCCCTCATACTGGCGGCACGCAGGATCGTGAGCTCCTGCGTCCACCAGTATGCCTGCCCACTCCTCCGTGGGCCAACCCGCGCCCTCGGCATGGCGGCGCTGCAGACGACGTTGATGTCGTCCGCGAAAAGGTCCGCCATGCCGTCGGCATCCCCCGCGACGGCGTCGGGGACCCCTGCCCAGGCCCGCACCGTCGCCGCCTCCTCCGCCACATCCGGCTGGAGGCGTGCGAGCGCCCACCGTTTGAACGGCGAGCCGCCCGCACGGGGGCCCTCGGGGCCCCTGGGATGCCGTGGAGACCTCGTACCGGACGTATCGGTGGTCCGATAGGGTCTCCACATCCGCCTCCACCCGCCAGCCCCGGATACGGGCCGCGAGCGGCGGGGGTGGCGAAGGACACGTCAATGAGTGACGTGCCCTGCCACCGGACGCAGGTAGGGGTGGTTCCTCGGTTGAGGATCTGGAGACCCAGGGCGAACACCCAGGCCTCCAGTATACCACCCCTGACGTCGGTGCGGGGGGACCCCCCACGCGGTCGATTTTGCGTTGAGGTCCCCCGCCACCAGCACCTGACGAGGGGCCGCGCGGTGCACGACCCCTTCAACCGCAGCGAGAAACCGATCGAAGTCGGCCCTGCTGCGGTTGGGGGAGAAGTAGGTGGACACCACCACCACCTCTCCCCATCGTGCCGCCACATACCCCTCCCCCCTCTCCACCAGCACCGGGGAAGGGCCCGCACTCGCCGCCACTATGGCAGCGGAGCCATCCGCAGCCCCCATCCACTTGTCGGACGGGGGGATACGGTGCGGCTCCGAGACCACCGCAAGGTCGACCCCCCACTCCGCCATCGTCTGGCACAGGAGATCCTGTGCCCCGGCGGAGTGGTTGAGGTTGGCCTGGAGCAGTTTCCCCAATGTCCTACTGGGCATCGTTGACGGACATTGGGGTCACTGCTGGGGTCGCCTCTGGCGTGGCGCGGGGGGCCGCCTTTGGTGCGGCACGAGGAGCCGCTGCCGGGTTCGGCAGGCGGCCCTTGACGGGAGGGGGCTTACAACTAGCCCCCGCCATTCGGTGCCCGGCTGGCAGGCCCCTGTCGGCGCACAACGCGCAGTGCGGAGGGCCTTGCAGGCCTTGGCTACGTGCCCCTCTTTGCCGCAGCGATAGCAGAGGCCTGCTGCGGTCTTTGCTAGAGGGACACTTGGCTGCTGGATGCCCCAGTGCCAGGCACCTATGGCAACGCATGGGGCGTGGCTCCAGTAGCCGGACCGTGGCTGCGCTCCAGCCCACCTTTAGCCTCCCGTCTTTGACCAAGCTGGCCACGGCCTCAACGGGGCAGGAGGCAATTGCCGAGCCAGCCCCCCTGGCGCCGGAGGATATTGCCCCCACCTTGATAGGTATTGGGGGGGCAACCGGCTTTGTCGGCCAGAGCCGCCCGCACTTCTTCGGGCGTTCGCAGTATCGTCCAGGCCCGACACCCTGACGTCTGCTGACTTTGTTGGGCGGGTCACCCTGGCTGTATCGCCCAAGGCCTCGCCCACCTTGGCCGCCAGAGTGTCGGCCTGGGCCCACCGTTGTTCCGGACGGGAGCTCAATAATTCTAGCTCCCGTCACTGTTGTGCGGAACTTGATGGGCCTATGCCAAGCTCGTCCATGTCTATGGACGCCTTGGCCTTGGTCAGGGCGTCCTTGTAAGTGGCTCCCTGAGCCACCGCCTCCGGCTTCAGAGCCACCACGACCGCCAGGGTCTTAGGCGCCTTTGGCACCTTGGGGCCCTTTGGCCCTTGTGGACCCTTGGCAGCCTTTTTGCCCTTCTGGGTTGCCACCGGTGCCGCCTCTGCTTTTTTGGGCTTTTTGGGTTTTTTGGCGACGGTCACCCAGGCGCCCTCAACCACCGGTGGTGTTGCCTCCTTAGGCAGCGGTGCTGCCACTTGTTTCTCACTCCTCGCTGGAGGAGGAGGAGCCGAAGTAACTGCCTTTGGTTTTGCCGCCTTTGCCGCCTTCGCCCTGGCCTTTTTGGGCATGTTGGCGGCCGGGGCAAGCGTGGTTGGGGCCACATTACCGCCCCCAACCGTCTGCGTCGTCCTAGGTGGCTTCGAGCCCGCGGCCTTGGCATCATCTGCCAATAGTGGCCGGCGGGGTCTCTCCGCTGCAGGGAGGAGCCGCCTATCCACCTCCAGGCCCTCCAGCCTTGCCTGGAGCATGTTGGCCATCTGCTGGGAGAGGGAGCGGTGCATTTCTTGCAACGCTCCGGCAAGCTCCTCCCCTCCGCTGCCTCCGCCTCCCACCCCCGCCGGGGTGTCTAGGATGATGGGCGCCGCCGGCCTTTTGCGGCGCCCTTCACTGGCCTCCGAGAAGGCCCGCCTCAGAGCTGTCAGCTCGTGGCGGACCTTTGAGAGCTCGTCCTGCAGGCGCTTGTTGTCCGCAGTCGACGCATCTCTTCTGCCGTGTCCTTTTGAGCCAAGGCGCGGACCACGGCCATCAGGGAGCCTGCGTTGGAGCGCAATTTCTTTTTGCAGGTCCCCTTTAAATTCTTGGCCTTTTTTGCGACCTCTGTCACTTCGCCAACCCTCTTCGAGGCCTCCGCCACCAAGTCCTCCACTGTCATATTACGAGGCTCGGCCTCTCCGTCACTGGCGGCAGATGTATATGCCTCCGTAAGGTGGACTCGGATTCCGAGTCCGGCTCAATCTCCCTGGCCTCTCTCCGCGCCTGGGATATCCCGACGCTATGCGTCAGAGCACTTCCTCCACCTCTGCCTCCTCTGCCCCCCTTGGCTCTGGGCACTTTGGGCGCAGGTGCCACCACTGTCGAGGCGTCCTTTAGGTAGCTGGACGCCACCGACCGCCTCTTACGGCTTTTTGCCGGGCCGGCCGTTGATTCGGCCGCCGACTCCGCCTCCGACTCAGCCCGTAGGCTGGACATTGACCCGGCTAAGGACTGACAGTCGGGACCGAACGTCAGGGTCACTGAGCTCCTGCGTGACCCCTCCGGCTGCACCTGACCAGACCTGCTCCTGGTCCTTATTCTTTCCTCCGGCTGTGCGAAACCCATTCCTTCCTCTCCAACATCCTCCTTCTCCGGTCTCTCCAGACCCTCTACAACTCCTTCCTTCCTCTTCTCCTCACTCTTCAAATTTTTGTTTTTAGTATTAGACGTCTGCATTGTTATTCCCACGAGTGTGGGGGAAAAAATGGTCCACCCAGGCAGTGCCCCCTGTACCTGGGTAACCCTAATACTCCCGGGGTGGCGGGTAGTGCCCCGGGGTGGAAGCGCTAGTTGGTGGACTTCCCCAACCCACCACCATAAGGCGCCTGGTACCACGCTTGCACTTTAATACCAGTTAACGGGTAGACCCGACACTTTGGGGTTTTTTAATGAGGTATGCTCCTCTCAGGGACGGCCGACAAAGGCAGTCCCCACTGGTCCTGTGTGGTGCCGCTAGACATGACAACGACACACACACACAGGTCTCCAGCTCGCCCGACGGTAGGCCGAAACCCATCCCCAGTGACCACACTCGTGGCCACGGGGCCGCCGCGCACGCGGACGCGCCGCGCGGACCTCCGAGGTCCGCAACCACGCCGTCGTAACGGCCGCTGGGCCAGCCAATTAAGGCAAGCCCCGCCAACCGAGCAGTTACGCCCGGGTGTGGCATCGCCACGTGGGACCGGAGTCCCCGCGGAACACTGTCCGCCATCCACCGCCGACAAGTCGGCCACTGATCGGCTGCCGCTACCCGGGATGCCCAGGACGCCAGCCGATCCACTCGGGTAATTTTTTATAGAGGTTGTCTTCCTCGCGACCACTGCCCTCCGAAGAGAGTGGCAGCCCTCGGCCCCGCTCAGTGCGGGGTTGCGAGCTCTCCCCCAGCTCGGCTGCCGCTACCCGGGCTACCCAGGACGCCAGCCGAGACCCCCACTGGGTAATTTTTTAGAGAGGTTTTCTTCCTCGCGGCCCCCACCCTCCGAAGAGACTAGCGGCCCTCGGCCCCGCACCACGTACGGGGTTACGAGATTGTCGGCTATTCGACACCTCCGTAACAGCACCCTCAGTGGGAGACATTACGCAGATGCCCGGGATGCACCGTCCCGAACCCATTTCCGTTCCCCTATCATAACTGACCAGGGACAGGAAATGGACCGGGCACACAAGGAGGTTTCCGACGTAGCACCCCTTTTAGGGGTACCTTAGGAAAACTAAAAATTACACACTTCATAATTTATTTAGATAAATATTTGTGCCAAGTTTCAAGTCAACTCAAGGAATAAGATTCTTCATACAAACTTTCATCCTCTATCTCAACCCCTTCGGGGGTGAATTTTGAAAAATCCTTTCTTAGTGCACCCATAGACTTTATAAGGAACCTACGTGCCATATTTGGAGTCTCTAGACCCTGCGGTTTGGATTGTGCGTTGATGTTAGTAGGTCAGTTTCTTCTTTTATATATTTTGATTTGCGATTTCTATCAAATCTTATGACATAAGCTTGTATTGTGTAGCGAGGGGTGTTAGTTCGACTCCAGCCTGATAATTGCACCAAATTGATAAATCTCTGAATATAAAAGCTTTAATAAATGTAATAAAAACTAAATGATGGATTTTTCAACAAAAAGTAAATGATTAATTGATTTTACTGTATCACCCCAACTAGGGAATGCAATACCGGGATCACGCATACATTTTGCGGGTATAATCTCGGTCTAAAAATTGTTTTTGTGAAAACGTGAAGGCTAAAATGAGATATGAAATTTTGTGTGGGAAACCAATTAACCACGCAGACGAAGTCGCGGTTAATCGCTAGTATTTAATATTTATTTAGGAATTAATTTATTTAAGAACAAAGTAAAGTGGATAGTTTATGAATGGAACTTAATAATACGATGTCATAAAATTGGCTTTGTGCCAGTGGCTATTCTAGGCGGGCCCGTTGCGCTAGCGCACCTCCAGTCACTCGCAGTCTCCGCTAGCCACGAACCGAGCCTATCGCGGAACTTTTTATACGTGCTTCCTCACTCGATCGCGTGTCCTAATAAATGTTTGTTTTCCAATATTTACTTAAACAATGGTGCTTTGTAAATCGTGATAAAAAGGGAAATTCAAATAAATTTATCTACTAATAAATTTCAAAAAGGGTCTGAAAGCAGTAAATTATGAATTATTTCTTGAAACCTAATTTTTTTAATCAATTGGCAGTATTGTTTTGTTAAAGAATGTTTGTTTTGTTCGTATCTAAACCAGCTCCGGTTTGAGTTATCTCATTCTGCAAGTTAAAGAAATGAAAGGTACTATTTTAATCTGTGTTATTTAAAAGCGGCATGCACTACTGTCAACCCATACTTACCTGAATAGTTTATTTGCTCTTACCAATTTTTTTATTTATTATTGTCACTATTTGTTTAAATATAATGTGCTTGCAACATCAGTTTATTTCCTTGATTTTTATTTAACACCCAAAAAATCATTGGGATAGCGTTACAAGTAACAATCTTACTTATGCTAATTTTAGTTTGGTTCAATCTATACTTTTTTACACATATTGATTTGATGCACAGCTAATTTGATTCTCCATGATGGATGTCTATTAATGTATTTTATTATTTAAATTCTCAAAACATTAATAAAATCATTGCCACTTATCGATCTATTTATTTATTGTCAACAACGAGTGAGAAGCGAGCCAAAAACCTCGTGAAATAGAAAGTAATTTAACAACGCCAAAGAAAAGTGTTTAAAGTCTCTCATTCATCACTCTTTGTATGTGTAGTACACAATGTAATTATGTAATCAACAAAAAATTGTTTGCATTCAGCTGCCAATGTCGTATGATTCTGTTTAAGTAACTGATTTATGTCACTCGATTGTAAATAAATTCTAAACATTTAATGAGTCAAATCGGTAAACGAGTTGAATGTATGCGCTCAATAGTCAAATTAATAATAAGAGCGGGATGCATGAAGCATGTAGATACCATGCTTATGTAACTACAAGACTTTTTTTCCTTTTTTCGTCTGGGTCTGTTAATTCGATAAAGCCCTATGCGTGGCTAGGTCGTAAGGTTGTTACGTCACTGCGCCAGTGAGCCAGCTAGGTACTGTGTGGTTCTGGTTCCGAGGTGACCCCGCTATGGCGACGATGCCAACGTATTGACGACATCCTTATTTTTATTGGTTATATGAATGAGTGCGACGACCGTGCCGCCTCCACATCGAACTGTGCGTGTGGCCTCGTACTGTTTCTATTTACAGTACTGCCAAACCACGCTCAAAGAAAGCTTTGCTCAGGCAATAAATAGCGGCAAAACATCGTTAAATATTCATCCAATTCACTCTTTAGAAGAAGGTTCAAGAAGTGTTATTGTTAAAATTAATGTAAATAAAAAAAACCGTCATGTTGTAACAACGAAACAAAAAAAGTAAATTTGCTCTTTAATGACGATGCAGACGGGAGACCATTCTCAGGAATTAATCTAAGAGGTATGCATTACAAAATGTAGTGCTTCTATTGAATTGAATTATGTTCTCATGAACATAGTTCAATCAAATTTGGTGTGCAGCAGAATTTTCTGCATCCAATCGCTCTTATGTAACATAAACAGTAAGACAAAATACGCACAATAGTAGTTCAGACATTGTGTTCTATTTTTTAGATTATGCGTCCACTAAAAAAAGCAGCCAAAGTCCAAAAGCACTTTCGCAAATTGTTTTATGCAATGATTATTGTATTTATAGTATTTGAACCTATAAAAATAATATTAGGCTCACAGCGATGATCGAATTAATTTGTATTTCCGTTTCCGCTACATTATGAGATTAATCATTTAAAAACATAGTCTGTATAAATATAAGACTGTATATAATATAATACAAAATATTTAGAAGCAGCCTTCTAATTAATGACTGCAACGACTATAGGTAGACCGCTTAACTGGTACCTTAATTTCAGGTACAACATTTGAAAGATATTAACTTAAACCGGTAGAATTTCAAAGTAACAGTGTGTTTGAAGTTTCTATTTGTTGAACGACTGTTTGTTATACCTACTGCTTTATTTGAAACTTATTCCAATTCCAAACTTTTCAAAAATTGTCATCCTTGTCTTAGCTTGAGTTATGATCATATCCCAGTGTGTAAAAGTATTGGTAGATTGTTATTTAATACTAATAACAATACTCACTTCAAATTATTTTCTTGCGTCTTTACATTGAGCTTGGTTACTGATGGAAATTTTATCGGATTTAATGACGTTTTACTCGTTATCTAGAGCTGATTACATGATTATTAAGGGAGTATATTACATTTCACAGTGCACGTATACAGACATAGGTGAAAGTGTTTGTTTATATGTTTGTTGTGATGTGACGTTATATGAATTGTGGGTACTTTATATTAATAAATGTAAGGAGTTTGCTATCTAAGCATGAGTGAGACTAAAAAACGTCTGCGCCCACGGCGTCGTGATGAATTTCATGAAAAGAGACAGGATCTACTTCTTACCTGGAGTGAAGGTGAGTCCTTGTAATTGTGAGCCCTACCTCAAAACTTCAAGGTTTGATCTAAATTATATAAGTGTAACGTTAAAAATTGTACTTTTACTTCCATTTTATGCACCTAAAAGAATTATTTCTTAAAAAAATTACTACAAAGAATAAATTATGTATAGGTTCAACAACCTTTCGATTAACTTTACCTTTGTAATGTTATGAGTTTTTCGCCTGATCAAGTTGATAATTTAATTTGTGAATTGTAAATAGTTTCAATCAAGTAGACCGAAACCGATTTTTCTGTTGCGTGGTCCATAAAGTGGTATGCATGATTTAGAACAGTCCATATAAGTCAATAATTATATAACATTGAAGTTAAAGAATAGTGTAATATCGTAACGTGTTTTGTGACTGTTACGATTTGGATTTGTTGATAGAAGAGTGTATAATCACGTATGTGATAGATGCCATATTGGTTATGCAAAGGTTTGTAGATTAACAAAAAGCCTGTGTTAAACTACCGGTCTAAACCATTTCTCAATCATAGAGAATAATAATACTGGTTTAAAATATCAATGTATTTATTTTTCGCGTTTATTCAATCAATGAAGTCTTAAATAAATTACTCCTTTGGAGGTGCAGATTGTACTTATAACGATTATCATCACAACAAATCATGTGACAGATAATAATGACAAATTGGTGTGACGACTTTTTGAAGTGAAAACTTCTTTAGCGGCGTTGTACACTTTTTTGTAATGGGTAAAAAATGTTAAACTCGCCTCAGGACATGTGGCCTGATCGAAAATTCGTAAGACGAAAATAAAAACATAGGAAAAGTTGTTGATTTTCCATATATTGGACGAAACATAGTAATATTTTATTTTATCGTATTATAATAATGAGTCTCTAACTAGGATGTCCAGGTGACAGCTTTATTGTGAAGAAAATGCATTTTTTTTTACAATAGATGTCGCTAGGTGCGCTTAAATGTGATTCATGTATTTTACAATAGATGTCGTTAGGTGCGCTTAAATTTGATTCATGTAAGTTGATTTTTCTTAGAGATAAATTTTTAATGGAATATAAATTGTCATGTTTGTGTACGACAGCGCAATAAATAAATATTGTATTCTACCTCATAAACTGATATTGATAATTGAAGCAATTCGTGCAAAATTATTCCCTAACCATTCCAAAATATCAAAAATGCACAACGTTAATATTCAAGTTTTCACTTCTGCCGGCACTCCCGGAATGCAACCCGTCGTTTTTTTTATGAAATGTGTTTATTTCAATAAAAAAAAAACTCGGCTAACTTAGGGTCCAAGCTCAAAACGGACTGCTGAGTTTATAAAACCTATTGTAGCCGAACACCCATGTTATTGTATCTACTCGCCTTAAATAGACAGACTTTAACTGCAAACTCAACAGACCAATTTGGCCTCTTATCCACAAAATAATGTAGTATTCATCTAGAAATACATTTAATACGCCCAGGGGACATCAAATCTTTTAAAAAGCTAGAAATAATTTGAGCTTCTTAGAAATTTAAGGGCTAAAGAGATACTTTAAGTTAAAGATAATATTATAATAGATCTTTTAGGTCGCAGTGACTACAAATCCATTAGGACTGGATAGCCCCAAAATATAATATAATCCTACCTATAAAAATATTTCATTACAAAAATAAGTTTTTTACCCTTTTAACTACACGGTCCTGTTAATTACTGTTTTGCGATGTCCAATCAGTGAGAGTCAATGAAATAGAACATTTTATTGTTTTCCTGTTGATGACTTATATAGTGTGAGCAAGCGACCTTCATGAATTTCTTGATTTAATTCATTTTAAATGTCTTGAGATCGTATAAAGTGATATGTTAAAGTATTTTTCATCTGTGGTGCTTTCTCTTATTCAATTTCGGGCATGTCCAATTGTAATAGGATGTTTATTGTAGATTTAAATTGACTTTGCTTAATGATTGATGTTGTCATTGCAAAAGTAAAAAAAAAACATATTTTTGCATAATACGCGTTTGAATCGAATTGAAAAAAGAATCTGTACGTACAGTGAAAAGTGATCTAAGTCGAATATAGCGAATTTTGGGAAATCGCATTTGAAGCAAAAAAAAAAAACTGCTACGTGGCTATTAGAGATAACGCGCAGATTTTTTTTTGGTGAAAGATAAGTTTAGAAATAATTTTCTGCCGATTGTGTTTTGTTTTCCGGATTTCAGAAAAAAATGCAAAATACTTTTTTGTTTAATTTGAATTTTTCCTATGAGTGAAGATAAAGTAGTGTATGAAACTGCATATAATTTAGGTGTTAAAATACTCTGCTATTCTCGTGTGTATCGATAAACAGTCTGGTGTTTTAATATCCATTCTTATGACAGTCGCATAAACTATTTATGTAATATTTTATTTCTTCTGCCAATTTTCTTGTCAACACTGGTCATTACAATTTAAACGCAATAAAAGTTGGGATGTAGTAAAAAAGATTTATGAAATAAGTTAAAGGAAAGAATGATAAAGTAAGCATATTAATTTTGTAACTATTAATTTTATATTGATCCGTCCATAAATTAAATCTTGAGCCACGCACGATGGTTTAGTCTTGCTTTTTGGTTGGATAAATTATATAAGTGGCCATATAGTACAGTCATTTGATAGTTTTACCTGGAAAGTTTTTCGAGATTTTTGAAAATTTGTAATTTTATAAATTTTGAGGTGCTCTTTTCGAATTTCGACTTTGCCACCTCGTATTTTTGCCGCTCGCGCAGCTATATTGAAAAAATGGCGGCTAAAAGCAGTTTTTTGGCAATATCTCCTTCCCAACTCATTTACGACAAAACAGTTAATACAATATAAAACTAGAGACAATTGCCTACAATTTATGTATCTACCTTTTTTTCATAAGGTCAATAGTTTTGGCGTACGAGCGCCGCAAAGTGTACTCCAACACGCGCTTTGGTCATTACTCATTATTCATGCAACCTGTGGCATTTAATTTCAACTCATTATATTTGTGAGTTATAAAATTAAAGTAAATCTGAACTATACTGACTATAGATATTATATTATACTATAATAGACCCATGATGTAGATGAAATACCGGTCTGTGACGTTTCGACTACAGACGATGAATTTGCAACACCTGGTCCATCGAGAACAACAAAGCGAAGGAGAATACGCTAAATTTTAGCAAATTGAATTGCATGTGGATTAGGCCTATTGGGGATACCACATTAAAAAAAACGCGCCACTTACTCTAACTCAAGGTGGTGTGGAAATGAGTTTTTGGCCAAAATGCGCGTTGGAGTACACTTTGGGGCGCTCGTACGCCAAAACTATTGACTTTATGAAAAAAAAGGTAGATACATAAATTGTATTAACTGTTTTTATCGTAAAATGAGTCGAAAAGGAGATATCGTCAAAAAACTGCTTTTAGGCGCCATTTTTCCAATATGAAAAAGCCTTCTGCCCGAGCGGCAGAAATACGAGGTGGCAAAGTCGAAATTCGGAAAGTACACCTCAAAATTTATAAAATTACCAATTTTCAAAACTCCCGGAAAACTTTCCAGGTAACCACTATATTTCTCACCAAATGACTGTACTAATATAACTTTTAAGATTAATCTTTGCTACAAATCAATTTGCTGCAGGTAACAAAGAGACACTTTAAGATAATAATCTATATAATTCTTGTAATCGAGATCTACAAAATGCATAAAGAGAATACGGGATAAGTAAACAATACTTAACTAATAAAACTAACATAGGATATCGTTTTTTAGGGTTCCGTAAGTACCTAAATAGAAAAAAACACGGAAGCCTTATAGGATCACTTTGTTGTCCGTCTGTCTGTCAACACCCTGCATCTCGGGAACACGTGACCGTTTCAAGGTTGATATTTAAACCATATACTTTTAGATCAGTGGTTCCTTGAAGCTGAAAAAATCAAACTTCTAAGTTAACGAAAAATAAAGATTTTAGGCAGCGGTAGGCCTTGTATTGCGCTTTCACAAAACAATTCAAATCAGATTTTGGTTGTTATGTGAGGGCGAAGGGCCCGTGCAATTCAAACATTACCGCGGTTAAAAATAAAATTCGCAAGTTCGACTTTCAGCTGTTGCTATACTTTAAATAGAAAAAGTGGCGTACCGTTTTATGGATTCGTCGCCTGTCTGTCCGTCCGTATGTCACAGCCACTTTTTTCGAAACTATACTGTTGAAACTTGGTAAGTAGATATATTCTGTGAACCGCATTAAGATTTTCACACAAATATATAAAAAAATAATATACACATAATTTGGGGGTTCCCCATAGTTAGAACTGAAATTCATATTTTTTTTCATCAAACCCATTCGTGTGGGGTATCTATGGATAGGTCTCCAAAAATAATAACAATGATAATAAATATTTCCAACACTCACACCAATTAGCCTTGCCCCAAAGTAAGCACTGTAAGGCTTGTGTTATGAGATACTAGGGTAACGGATAGAATACATATACTATACTTAAATAAGTATATTTATATAGAAATACATATTAAACATCCATGATTGGAGTACAAATATGCTCGTATTCATCACACAAACATCCTGCCCCCACCGGGATTCGAATCCGGGACCTCTCGAGTAGAATGATGAAAGAAAAAAAAAGTGTAAGTATATTACCATGCAAACTTCCACCGAAACTGGTTTGAACGAGATCTAGTTAGCAGTTTTTCAATACGTCATAAATCGTAAACCGCAATTTACCATTCATTCAATCTACTCAAAAATATATGAAAAAGAACGACGGGTTGCACACCGGGAGTGCCGGCAGAAGTGAAAACTTGAATATTAACGTTGTGCATTTTTAATATTTTGGAATGGTTAGGGCATAATTTTGCACGACTTCCTTTAATTACCAGTATAAAAGTACTATCATTTATGAGGTAGAATACAATATTTATTTATTGCGCTATCGTATACAAACATAACAATTTATATTACATTAAAAAGTGTATCTCAGAAAAAACAACCTACATGAATCACGTTTAAGCGCACTTAGCGACATCTATTGTAAAAAACATGCATTTTCTTCGCAATAAAGCTACCACCTGGAAGTCCTAGGTAGAAACTTATTATGATAATACGACAAAATAAAATATTACCATGTTTCGTCCAATATATTGAAAGTCAACAACCTTTCCAATTTTATTGTATTCGTCTTACGCCACGTGTCCTGACGCGAGTTTTAAGATTTTTTTACCCATACAAAAAAAATTACAACGCTGCTAAAGAAGTTTTCACTTCAAAAAAACATTTAATTTCGTAAACATAAACAAATAAATAGTCATGTGAAATGCCACCATAACAATGAAGATGAAAACTGATAATTCTTAAACAAAAATCTTGGGATGCCGAGCAACAATATTTCTTGAATCGCTTTAAAAACTATTTTCAAAGTCTTCAACAGAAGGGGCAATAATTAGAAGTGGTCTACAGGGAGACTCATCTTCGAGAGCTTTACGGTTTGACGACTATTTTTATTTGTAATATTATTACTTTTTATTTTAATACACCGTATGTCACTCTCACAACTAAGAATAATCTAACTATATCTCAAGTCTAAAGCAATTTAACCGTTTAGGCCATATAGCGTGCCAAAAATATATAAATTAAATACACCTGAAAATCAAAACTATCCTTTCGGCGAAGTCGGTTTAAAAGGGCCCCGCGAAGATCGGTTGCCCGGGGCCCCGCAATTCTTGAGGTTGCCCCTAAAAAGATACAGCAGTTTATCTGTCAAGACATTATCTCGGGAACGAGTGGAGGTAAATTTTAAAAACTGTATTGTTTTCTAAAATTTCCCTGTCTAGCCTATGTTATGTCACTGTTTAAAAATATTTACTGTGGCTAACTAAGCACAAAGACCACCGTAAAGACCTTTCGGGTACGCAACCCTAAAAGAAGTAACAACCTTAAAAGATTCAATAATACATTTATTTTTATTTAATCTAAGGTGAGAACCAAAATTTGTTACATATTATGTATAACGTTTATCATTCAGATAACTTTGAGGACGTAGTTATTTTTTCAAGTTATAATGTGCATTGACTGAGGAATACTTGCATGGTGCATTAGACTGTGGAATATGTCCGGGGTGCATGCCCTGTAGGTAGAGGCGCGGTCATGCCGGCGGGAGGCAGCTATCGATTCCGTCTGCATCTGTTCCTATACTAAATTCAGAGAGTAGATATCTCGTAACAAGTTATAGCTTTATTGCAAGGAATCTCAATGCTGCATAGTCGCAGTCGCAGCGTTGAGACTTTCAACCACAAATATAGCAATGTTATAGTGGATCGATTTGTAGTATGTCACTGGACATAGTTCTTGAAGATTTACATGTTTTTATTTTTGTCAACAGAGGTGTGCAATAGCGAGGAAGTGCCGGAGGTAGAGATCGTTAGCCTTCTACAAGAGTATATACCGAAGTATCGGTTACGAGCTGACAGCCTTACTGAGTTTGGAGGTATTTATTATGTTTAAGTTATTCTTTCTCACTTTCTTGTTCTATAAATTGATTGTGTAACGGTGTCGACTCTGGCATGATTCTCTATTTAATTTTAGCGACTGATCTTAAATTTAGTTTTAAGTTTAGATAATCATGCCAGAATCGACACCAATGTCCATTTAAAACATGTTATTTATATAGGATTTTAGTGAGTAAAACATAAAATTTTAACAATGCCAAAATGCTAAGACGATGTACTTAGACGAGGAAAATTTAGTGAAGATTTGCGGTTTTCCTGTATGGAAACTTAATAAACATAATAAATTTTAATATTTGAACTCTGTCATATCAGATATAATTAAAGTACATGTTAACTGGATTTCTAACCTAACGACGTTGATATTTTGTTTAACAAATATTTCACAGTTATCTAGCTCTACGGAGAGCTTATATTGATTATTTTCGGTTATGATCGCAGTACAATATTATGAACTATATACGGACTATTAATACAAATCGATTTAGATTGTTAAAGGGAAACGTACGCTATTTGCATGTAAATTGTTTATTCCGTTTCGATCGCTGCTTTTCGATCGCGTCTGAAATTAAGTGCTGCTCCCAACCATACTCCTTCGTTAATTTCTGGTCTGAAAGAAGAGATTTTTTATTTAATATCTACAAAATAAAACTACCTATCTCAATACTAAATTCTATAATCTGTTAGTAAGGGGAACTTATGACTTTTTAAGAAACTTAAAACTCAATTGCGCAATAAAAAGCAGGAAACATTTACTTTTTCCTGCATTGTCACAATAATTTTCCACGGAATAGGTGAATAAGTTTATCGGGTAGCTACAATTCATTAGTCTTTGCAAATACGCATAAAAATGAAGATTGCATTTGGATATATCATGAGCACCAGTGATTTGCTACCACTATGCAAGATTTTCCCCTCAAATTACTATTTGCATTTCGAATTTGAATGTCCGCATCTATATGCGTAACAGAAGTAACAGAAGACTATACTATAGTAATACAACATCACCTTTCGGCGGTATTGGGTTTTTGTTGGTGAGGAAAGGTCCTAGGCTACACGGTGTGTCGGGAATTTGAGATCAGGCCAGCAAGATGATCTTCACACTTTTTCATCACTTACTAACTTACACCTAACATCAAACTAAGTGGGGTAATTTTGTGTATAAAAAAATTTAAAAAGTATACAACTTTGGCACAAAATGCCGGGTGTCCTTTCTGTGTTACTTATAAGTTCAGGAGTTTCAAGCAATTTGTCTATGATTATAGGACAACTAGACAAATGAGTTGTCCTGTAAAACTTGCGCATTTTCCTTTTGTGACGTTTTCATAAAAAAAACCCGATATGATTACTAAATGATGTCACTGTCATAAAGCATCGTAATTTACGATAATGTCTAACTGTTGCCTCGCATTCACATTTTTATCATATTGATCAAAGCATAATCAATTTTATCGAATGCTGACACCCTTGACATTGGACGTGATAAAAAGTCCTAATTCAATTTTACTTGGTTGGGTTGGGTTTTTTATTTTTATTGCGTTGGTAATTAGTTATGTGATCATATGAATAACATATTAAATTTTCATTTTATACATTATAATGAGTAATGACATTGTAAAACATGCAAATTGCTGTTAAGCGTTTGATCTTTCACAAGTTTTTATTGTGTATTTCACATAATTGATTTCAATCGAAAAACAATCCCAAAGCACGGTTTTCACTAAAGATAATTGAATAGCGTGACAAAATAAACACGTAGAAATAAACAAAATTTTGTGTGTTGGTTGTCCTAGATTCGTGAGTTGGCCGTCATAATAACAGGTCAATGCTCAAAAACCAGGTCGTAGCCTATTTTTGCAAATTTTATTTCTCGGTACGGATTCTTTAACTAACGCTGTGGTGCGAACTATAGATATTAAGTAACGCTAAAGATCAGGCTTAGGAGTAGTGTATTGCACGACCGGCTGGCACTGCTAACAATGAGAGTGAAATGGCAAGGCCTCTCACCGTTCGCTCACCGTAAATGTCAACTAACAACTTCAATATTCATTTACTATTAGTTTTCTCAGCTCATAGTATTTTCTCTTTAAAAAGAATGTATTATTAAGCTTATTGTATTGGTGCAAGCTTAGTTTTTCCGTGCGGTGCACAATGGTAGTCCAAAGCAGATTACCTTGAGTTGAGTCCCGCCATTGGGCACACGTGGAAGAAAGTATTGCATTACATATGGTGGTGTCACAATGGTGTGTTAGTATGTCCGCTTTCTAAGTGCAAGTGTAAGATGCTTTTGCACTCGGCAATTAATCACAATTTTCTTTTACGCTTTATATCATCATAAAGATATCCAACAACTTACAAGAGATATAAACACACCCAAAAAAGTTCATGATTGGGTTGTTAAGTTTAAATACATATCCATGAAAATACACCTTTCTAGGTACCGTTTTTTTGTCAAGACTAACGTGTTAAAATTTCAGTATACGAAAATTTTATCGAGGCGAGTCGTGCCTAATAGAAAGAGTAATTTTATCCTAGATCATGATGTTGGCATTTATATAGATCGTATAAACTTTTCGGTGCGTGTGCGATCTGATGACGGAAGCTTTACTGACTTATACCTATAAGGACTTAACCGGCTGCTGAGTCCAGCGACGGCGAATTCTATATGCGTTGTTCCGTCCCAGTGAGTGTTTGAGGTGTGGTTTCCGGCGCCGGCGTCTCTTGAGAACGCTATAAATAATAGTGTCTCATCACACGAGTCATCGTCCGCAGACCACTATGCGCTTTATGCGTCCCCGACCGGTCTGATGCGTGCCATATTTCAAGTGGTTGTTAGGACTGCTCTTCTTTTATAGTTCTAAACAAAAATTTGTTTAAATCTAAAGAAATTTTATTAGAAAAAAATCCATGCGGACCAGTCAGCAGACGGGACCTCGAGTCGCTGCTGCCTGGTCCGCACGGAATTTTCTCTAGTAAAATGTCTTTAGATGTAAACATCTAGCAGTTAAGTTCTTAATATTATCACACTAATATCATAAAGGTGAAAGTTTGTGAGTGTGTGTGTTTGTTACTTCTTCACGTCTAAACGGCTAGAGCGATTTTAATCAAATTTGGTATGGAGTTAGCTGACACCCTGGATTAACACGTAGGCTGCATTTTACTACGGGAAAATATCCCTAATAAATGGCGGGTAGCACCGCAGGGCATAGCTAGTATATATATATATATAAGTTGTTCGTTTATTTATACCTTGGAATGGTATTACCCGTAGAAAAACGAAAAACCTGCAAAACTTATGTAACTAAACTGTACACGAGAAATGTCTTGTAAAAGACGACATATTGAAAATCTTGCATGTTTCGAATAGCATTTTAAATTTTTACTAAGTACTTACTTGAAATACCTAAATGAGAAACATCTGTTTTCATGTGTTCCTAATGTAATAACATTTATTTAGACAATCGGGCTTCTTTCTCAGCCAAGCAACGAAACATTGTGCAACAACTTCCAATTACTTGTGTGTTACGTGTTGGCGGAGATGGGGATCAGCGATATCACACATAACTGCTATGGGAAATTAGTTTTGCATTAAACATTTAGTTTTTAATATGGGTTTGTGAATTTTGTTCTCAATGCATGCAAGCCACGCGCAGATAGATTAAATTAGATTTGTTTATTCACAAATAGGTACTTAACTGTTTATTGGGCTATCCCAATAAGCAGTCTCATAGTTAACTCTATAGTTGACAATGAGATTATCACTCCTAGGGTTGGAAGATTATAGATAAATTCGCTATCATAGGCTTTTCAGGCTAAAATTTTCGTTCTATATAAGTAGCCTCAGCTAGAGTGCAATGTTACTAGTAAATTATTGGCCTCATGAATTGATATGATTCACTGTTTTGCCCTGACGTCAGATAGCTAGTCCCTCTTTAAATTGATCAACCAAACGTATGTCCAGTACAAATTTCAAAACCACTTCAAACGGACTTTGTTTCTGTTTAATGGAGATGAAATATTATAAAAAAGGGGTCCCTTTAATAGTTTTAAAAATACCGAGTAAGGTAATTATTTGGTTTATGTAAAACTATTTGTGTTTCTTACTTTTCAGGTTACGAAAATCAAGACTGGTTCATACCGTCGCCTGCGCTGCCTGTCAGCGACGCAGATCTCCAGCTGACACCTGACCAGATCAGGGAGACCCTAAATTACTTCCGTGAGTATAATTTTAAAGTAACTATTCATTTAATTTTTTCATAATTTATTCGTGTTTAATACTTGGCCAATCGAGTATTCTAACCGTGCTTGTTTAATTTTGGCTGTCAGTTTGAGTCCATATCTTTTAATACTTGGCCAATCGAGTCTCTGTACCGTACCTGTTTAATTTTAGCTATAAGTGTGGGTCCATATCTGCCATTAGAATAAATAAACGTAATCGGTCCAGTGCGAGTCGGACTCCCGCACCGAGGGTTCCGTTAAAACTTGTGGGTGTGTCATTGTTCCTTCATCTTTCGGGCTTCTCTTCAAGTCTCGAAGAATATTGGAGTTTTGTTGTTTTATTATTCCAAGATTTTCTCGCCTTTTCGTTTTTCCAATTCCTTTCTTAGTTGTGTTACATGGCTTTGCTTCAGTTCAAATTGTATTATTCTAGCTATACGGGAGTACGGGAGTATGCCGTTACGAAACTTATCGCACACAGCTTTTCGACGCTGGCTCTGTGATTGACACACATATCTATGTTTAAGTTAAGTTATCAACAATAACAATCACATACATATAAAAAAAGGTGAAAATTATGGAAACGTATTTTAACCGCTACTAATATTAATTCATATGTAATTGCTGTTTTAAGATTACAAAATTTGTAAGTAATAATAGTACAGCAATCCATAATCTTATCACATGCATTCAGAGTATGAGCTGACGAACTAGAAGAGCGAACTAGTTCGTTTAGGGGCGGCGACCTAAACTGAGCGATCTCAGTTGCGAACTACTATGCCCAAGACAACATCAAACATAAGACAAAAGGTATATTGTCAACTAGGCCCCACCTCAGCATAATGCTGCAATGGCAAAAACAGATTTAATGGTTTCCCTGCTTTCTTTTGTGTACCCAAAGGATGACAGCGGAACCCTATTATTACTAAGCCTCCGTTCTTCGTCGGCCGTGTATGTGTCCGTCTGTCAGGGGATTGTATTTGTATCTATCCTATGAACCGTAAAGGATAGATAGGTAGTTGAAATTCTAAAGGCATGTGTAATTCTGTTTTGCCGCTATTATGACAAATAATATAATAATAAATCAAAGGAAATTTAAAAACAAATGACATGAATTTTGTATATTTTTATTATACGCATCGAAAATGGTACGGATCTCTTCGAGTGGTAGTCAGATTCGTATTAGAGCATTTTTTTTTTAAATAATGTACTTACATATATACATTAGTGCTGGAATTGATTGTCTAGACAAGAAACATCAATGAGAACAGAGCGGGCAATGTTGTGTATGCACAGACTGCTCTCATACTTTCGTCATTTTAACCAATTGACTAAGATTTGCATTTGTGTCATGGTCATGGCTGCGGAAATTTTCTCTGTTTTATGTTTTAAGCCAGCGAGTATTCACTAAAGACTTACTATAAGTCTATCTTTCTGAAATCGGACAGGTAAGACTGGTCGAATGTTCCTGTAATGATTCTTTAACGCGGCAGCAGTTGAACCACATGAAGATTACCTACAATGTAGAAATAACCCATATTTCTTACCCAAGTTGCTCGGAATCTATGAATAACGTGCTTGCTACCAAATACATCATGGTCTCCTTAATGTTAATTATCTGGACCAGTCCAGACTAGGACCGCATTGTTTGCGTACGTAACGAATCGTGAGGCGTGTGGTGCGGGTGCAATAGCAGGAATCGTCGCGGCGGGCGTCAATGTCTGGCACGCAGCGCGCTTGCGCGGCGCCGAGGAGCCGACGACCAGTGCCGGTCGCGCCGGTAGCCACGAGGCACGCGTGCTCTCTGTTCTAGTGCGGGGATCGATACCGCGCACTGTCGCCACCACCTTTAGCCCTTCATCCTCCGGGCGCCGCGATGTCCGCTGTACGCAACGGTTCGCGCACAGACTCGTGCTAAACATAGATAGTGCACCGCTGCACCGACTCATATAACACAATCGACCGCAACGCACACCTTAATTCGTTGCCAAAGAGATTTATTTCGCGATTCCTCATCTACGTTAATGAGAACCCGGCCAGTGACGCGAATTCACTTCTGTTTATACTCTAGAGTCATTAGAGAATGCACTCCTATATCTTAAATATAATTTAGATGCAAAAATAATATTGATTGGGGGCGGACCGCGAGTTCAGACGCACGACGCGGCGCCGCGCCGCATCGCGCAACAGCTGTGAGCGAGATCTGTTAACTTGACCGTGAGAAAATATTATTTTATTATGCTCGTTGATACATCTGTTTAACACTAGTCATTATTCTATTACCTGTGTAGGTACTTAATGGCAGTTTGTGGCTTAAAATAAATATGCTTTCTTGTTATCTACGTAATTAATTAAATCTATTTAACTATACAATTTACCGTACCTAATAGTTAGTTGTTATTATTAGAACTGCTCAGGTATTATTGAACTATATATTTAATCATACTATTCGTGTTAATTAAACATATAAGTAAGTAGTTGATATAACTCATTTTAGTGGCTTATTTTATTGCTTGTCATATTTAAAGCATTATAATAATATTTCATATTTGAATATTTAATGTGAATATAAATTATCACAATTATGGGAAACACTTTTTTTTGGTCGTTTTAGTAATCTGTAATATCTAGGCGCCATTGTGCAAGATTATGTACAAAAATAAAACTTATAGGACTAACCAGAACTATCTGATCTAGAAACCATCAGGTAGTTTGACACTACCCGAACAAACCTTTCGTTGCCAATAACACAGATTTCGTTGACCGGAAAAGTTAATTGGGTCTTCATCATTCCGTAAATAGATCGCACCTACGATCTTAAATGAGAAGTGTTTGAGTATCTATTAATAAAATGCTATTATTAAATTTTCTATATTAATTAGTACTGTCTTCAATCTTTGCCAAATAAGATCGATAATGAAATTTCTTGATACGTTTCTTTACTTACTTGCTCTCTTGAATATTAAGGAAATCAACTAGCTCTTCTGAAGCTCTTACTTACGTATGCGTAAAACTAATTGATTGCAGGAAATTTAATTACAGTTAATTTCATCATCTATTTGTACTAAACCGCATTGCGCTATTTCTAGCTTAGCTGAAAAAGGAAACCCTCAGCATTTACCAACATCTTAAAAAATTTAAGATGTTTTTATGTTTTATTGTCAGAGAGATAGGGCTTAGCAGATTTACCTCTTGAATTGGAGCACCTGTCTGGGGATTTAACACTACCTTTTGGTGGTGTTGTGTTTCTGTCGATGAGTCAGTTTCTAGGGCTTCACGGAGTTGAGGATAAGAGTTTCTTTTATTATTATTTTTATGTTGAAAGGGTAGCAAACAAGCATTACGGCCCGCCTGATGGTAAACGGACAACCTATAGACGATTGCCATACAAAAAATATCACTCGCGCCGTTGGCTATCCTGACCCATTCTCCTACCCCGTGGATCCCTGGAACCTTACTCACAGACAGAAACAAAACACTACTAATAGTCTAGGAAATGAAGCATTTTGGCTCGCAATTTTTTCGTCCACCATGGATTTACTTGAAAGGAGATTGCTCAAATTGGCCCAAATGTACAAAAAATATTGATATATACGGTAATTCTTGGCGTAATTTATACTTTATTTTCATACAGTCATTAGATTTTAACGGACACCTTTGTATAATATATTCATTTTAAAAAGTACTTTTAATTTTACCGGTTTGGAAAACATACGAATAATTTTAAATGGCTATGGGTGTAGTAACATTCAGCCAAAGACTGATCGAAGTTGTTTATATAACATCAAAGCAAATCTATCTTTCCACACCCACTATATTATCATTTTCACTACATGCAAATGTGCTATGACAATTATTAGAGATGGTGGGCGACATCATAAAGTCTATTGCCATACATCTACCTAAAATCTAAAATATGGTTACATATAAACATAACAAAAATGAAGCTACTGAATATAATGGCTGTATGACCTAAATCTCTTTTAGCTTTCTTTGGTTAACGAGAGTTTAAAAATTCTTTCTAATTTGCGGCTCATTCACAATTATCACGATTATTACACAGTTTCTGTCACAGAGCACCTTATTATAACCGGAAATGCATAGATGATACCTGATTTTAAAAGTTACTCTTGTGTATTAACTTCAGAAACAGGCAACTATCTGTTAATCTCCATGCTCTACAATACCTGAATCTATATAATTTCGATACTTGACTTGATTTCCCTAGTTTACTATATATCTTATTTGTTTTTTATTATTTTAATACCTATGTACCTATTTGCAAACATAACCTCAAAATCATTCAGTGTATATGGTTTATAGAAGTTCTCAGGGGTGTCCGTCAATAATATTCGTTTCTACAGTAATTTATATATAATTTCAAATTTAGGAAACAATTTTTCATGATTATTGGTCTTTAGGCCAAACATGTATGGAAGCTGAGCTATCATGCCGCTGTATGCTAGAGCCTTGGGGGTGGTTGCCACCCCATCTCGGGGATGGAAATTTTTTATTACTTTTTAACTGTAGGAATCGACGGAAAAAGTAAGAAAAATATGTTATATACGTTTTTTTTCGGAAAACTAATATTTTATGAGGTATTCTAAGTTGAAAGTAACAGATTTTTGACGAAAAAATCGACTTTTTAAAATATTTTTTTGCGATTAACTCGAAAAATATGCATTTTATAAAAAAAAGGGTAGAGAGTCAAATTGTAGCTTTTAAAAAAACGAAAACTGCGTTATTTATATTTTTTCTATGGCAAATATGAACTAAAATACAGCAAATTAATTCTTAGCTTTTTTCGTCAAATGCATAAATTGGAAGATTTACAGCGAAATAACGAGAAAAATTTGCATTATTCGAAGAAAGCTCATAGATTCTTTTTTAAGTATTTAATTAGAGCTTTCAAACAAATAAAAAACAATGTCTCTAGCATGAAAATTCACCGACTTATAATAAAAATAAGATCGGTACCCGGTTTTTTCTACGAAAAAA